GGGAATGCCAGGCCCCACTAAGCCAGATAAGATAGATTTCCTACAGGAAAGAATTCTGTTCCTAGAAGCCTTTTGCCAGAGATATCCTCCGGGGAACATGCATATCTCTACTAGGTCATTATCCCCCAAGCCAATTCAACCTGTGACACTCAGCAGTAGCCCACTCTCAGGCCAGGCACACACCTAGGGATGCTGTACACGTCAGCCACCAGAGTCCAGTAACGACTGACAGGGTGTTTTATAAGAGTGGCTTATTGAAAAAGCGAGTTATCTGAAATGACAAATAATAAAATAATTGCTATACCCAGAGCAAAAGTGTCAACCAAGTTCAGGAGAGACTGTGATGAGAGCAGAATATTTAAATCTGTTAGTGCAAAAAGTAGGTCAGCTTGAAGAAGATTTTGCTTGCCTCGTGAATGCTTCAATCCAGAGCCAGCTCTGCTATGGTCTAAATATTTGTGTTCTCTCCAGAATTCTTTTTAATTTTTTTTTTCTTTGCAGTTTTGGCCAGGGGCAGTGTTTGAAACTCCCACCTCTGGTATATGGGGCTGGCACCCTACTCCTTGAGCCACAGGAGCCACCTTCTCTCTCCAAAATTCTTATGTTGAAATCCTTACCCTGAAGGTGATGGCCACTAGGAGGTAGAGCCTTTGGGAACTGACTAGGTCATGGGGGAGGAGCCCTCATGAATGTGATTAGTGCCCTTATACAAAAGCCTGAGAGAGACCTTTGCCCCTTCTACCATATAAGGACACAGTAAAAAGGTGCCATTTGTGAGCCAGGAAACGGGCCCTAATCAGACAATAAATCTTCCTTGATCTTGGACATCCCAGCCTCTAGAACTTGTAAAAAAAATTCTGTTGTTTATAAGCTACCCAGTTTATGGTATTTGTTACAGCAGGCTAAATAGACTAAGATAAGCTCAATCAGAGCTTTCTAAAAGCTCCAGGACAGAGGACCCCTGGCTTCAAACTTGATTGCCACTAGATGACATTAAATAGATGGTCTCTCATAAGTCATTATTATTCTGTAGGCCAAGCAGGGTGAGTACACGTCATTTATGCCACAAGTCCTCATCTTATGTCTATGATAAAGAGATCACAGCTCTGTCTTCATGACCTCACGGTAGCTGAGAAGAAAGGAGACAAGAGCCCACTGCTTTCTTTTACCACTTGTGCTTCGTGCGAATAAGAAAAATATTTCTCAGAAATCCCTCATTCGTCCCTTGCACCTCCTTGGCCAAGCCTGGGTCTATTTCCACACTTAGACTGGCCACGGGGAGCAGCATGGCCACAGCGTCTCAGTCCAGCACGGCACTCACTGCTGCCCAAACAAGTCATGACTGAGTATGGCGAGTAAGAAGGCTCAGGGCTGCTGCGTTGGCAACCAACAGCACTTGCTTCAGTAGAAAACCAGTGTTTTTGTGGTCTCAACTTTAGTTAGAGTATAAATACAAAATAGTTTTATTTTTCTAGTAATTGACTCCTCACTGTGCTATGTGGACCCCTATTTCCTTCTAGTAGTGGAACCCCCAGAACAGTATCTCTGTCTAATTCTACAACTATGTCAACTCCAGTTATTTAAACAGCTTCACTTCATTTCTCAGGCCTTCCTCACGAATGCTTTAAAACTTCTATCCCGTCTGCAATGCAAAGGCCTCTTCTGCCTTGCCTGACCTAGGCTAGATAAGTGACTCTTGGCGCTCAGAGTAGGGGATGGGAGGCGTGGTCTCTATGCCCCCACACAGGCAAGGCTCCTCAAGGAGTCAGCGAGCTTGGGATGGCATCACATCATTAGGGTGTCTTCAGTATAAGCTGTGGGACTTTTGTTTGTTTCTAGGAAGGAAATTTGTCAACTAAGAGTTCTTTTTTTTTTAAGATAGTCTTACTTTGTCACCCTTGGTACAGTGCTATGATGTCACAGCTCACAGCAACCCTAAACTCTTGGGCTTAAGCGATTCTCTTGCCTCAGCTTTCCAAGTAGCTGGGACTACAGGCATCCGCCACAGTGCCCAACTATATTTTGGTTGCAACTGTCATTGTTGTTTGGCAAGCCTGGGCTGGATTCGAACCTGCCAG